CAAGGCACTTTTTTTCAGTTTGAACTTCTCAAAGTCTTCTGAACTCTGACAGTTCTATACTGTGTACAGTAATCACAAGTTTAATGGGTTAGAGGAAACTTCAGGCAATTTACCATGACAAGTCCCGTTCTGTTCCTTTTTCGGCGAATGTTGTAGTGTTTCAAAGAAAGTGGAGCAGCTGTAATAGGAGAAACTGTGAAAAAGCTTAGCCCAGCAGCACAGAATACCCTTCAGCTTGAGTCTCAGGCTTCTAGGATGTTAGAGTACGTGAAGTGAATCTCTAGATGAAGTGCTGTGGATAAATGATATTCCACAAACTACTCAGTCATGATGGCTAAAAAAAAACAAAAAACATTTTCTTGTGAATTCATAATAAATTAAGACTGTGCATGCTGCCAGCAACTGCAGTTCTGGTCACGAGTGGTAACTCATTAACTGAGTAGTTAGTTAGGTGTTTTTTATCATGCATGCCCTAAATGTCTTTCCTGACACCTTTGAAAATACTGGCCTTGCATCACAAATCTCCTAAAACCTGTTTTGAAACACTTACTGATATGAAAGCTCCCCATTGATTTTAATGGGATTTGGATCAGCCCCATGAATAATAGGGAAAAGCTGTTATTTCTTTCATATAGGTTATCACTGGGAAGCAAAGAAAATTCCCTTCATGCACAGTGTGCTTGTATTGCTTGGTCTTTAGCCCTCCTTTAGATGGCATTTTATTGTCTGGTATCAAAGCAGAGTTCAAAAGAAGAGAAACAAAACAAAATGGAAAAGCTCATAGGAAAAAAATTATTGAAGCACAAAATAATCTCAGATTCACTTTTATTTCATCACACAGACTTGCATGTGCAGGAATGTGTGTATTGGCAAAGTCTTGAGCTGTCAGGTTTTTCTAAGTTCCGCATAAAATGCCAAAATACATCAAGAAGCATCAGACACCTTCACAGCTTTAGGTACGATTGAACAGCATTGTTTAAAATGTGTAGGGATCAGAACAGGCCATTGGTAGTTCTCCCAAAAGGGAAAACAGTTTATCTTGTTTCTCAGAGGTCTGCGCCAGAGTTTATTGAAGAGCTCTTCTTGCCTTCAGTGAGATCTGGGTTAAGGCTGTGTGAAACAGTTTAAACTATGCAATAACAGCTATAACAGATTCAGCACAAGCGTTTGTAATAGCCTTATGGATGTGCTCTGCTGTCACTCCTTAAGTAGTTATAACAACAGACATGGAAATTTCTCTTTAATTTGAGATTAAAGATAGAGATACCAAACCAGCTATAGTGACGTACTACTATAATTTCTGCGTCTGTCATTTGAAAGACATGAAAAATTATGTTAATAGGTAAGTAAAAGATGGTAAATGAATGCAAATATACAGAAGTTAATGGTAGCCCAGGAGAAGCTCCAATAAAAGGAAGAGAAAAAAAAAACCAACCATATTTCACTCAAATGCATGAGACAAGAATTCAGTCAGCACTTTATTTACAGTATTCTTTATTTATGTTTAAAAGCTTTCTATTTAACGCAGATTTAAAACAGGGCTTTCTGTACCATATTTCATAATACTGCAGCTTAATCAGCATCACAAAGTGCTATAATGCATTTCTTATGTCAGTGGCTATTCCTGATTCCTACCTGGATATTTTCTAAGGAAAATTCCTATTTAAGGAATTTTATTTTACATCAAGACATTTCAGTAAGTAGTTTCTCTCCAGCTCTAAAAGCTATTTGTTTATAATGGAACAAACATATGGTAGGGTGGAGAAGCTAAAGATGCGGGCTTCCCTCCTCCCCTCTCTCCCCACACAGGTGGCTCTCTAATTCCGGACACTATCCTAGAAAGCCAAATTGTTCTGTGTAATGTGCCTACTGATACAGATTTAGGAGCTAGCAACTGTCTCACAAGCTGTTTGCCTGGGGGCAAACAGATTTGCCTTCAAAGGTACCTGTGTGAGTATATATACAAAGCAATCCTGCAAATAGTGAGAAAAGGAAATTAAATCCTTCTGGAAATACTCACTTCTGTCTGTGGCCATACACCTGAGCTGTCCCCCTGTGCAGTGCAGTTGCCACATCGCTGGGGAATGGTAATGCTGTGCTCAGAGCTGGGGCCTGTTGACACTTGTACACACGCCAGCTTCCACTGACGTGCATTAACGTCCGTCCCTGGAGGAACAGGTGGGAGAGCTCAGCACACATCAACAGATGATTCCCAGGATAAAACTAGTGGTGGATGGTCCTGAGCCTGACACCATTGCTGAGACCTGAGGAAGCTTAGGGCCTGTAGGAAGACAGACTTTCATGCCCTGGGGGCGCAATTTTGGTCTTCATTAACTCAGCATTTTGTTTTCTTTCTTACACTTGCTTTATTAACTTTAAAATGTACAGGTGTTTGATGATATGTTATTCATAAAGGATTAGTTAAGATCTCCATCTGGACCTTTCCAAAGCATACAAATCTGGGCTCAACAGAGCAGATGCAGGTGCTGGCTTTCTGAGGCAGAGTAAGCAGCAATCATATCTTTCTTTAGCCCCTCTGGGCCTTTCTAAACACTCATTTCCCACAGCAGAAATAAGGTTATCCATCTTTGCACCCTAGACCCTTGTAAACAGTGCTGAGCTGCCTAACCCAGAGAGAGCACGTGTTTTCTCACTGCTTTGACCTCATGAGTTTTTTGGATTTTCACGTCTTCTTTAACAAGGAGGTCAGTAAATTGGTGTAGGTAAAAAAACATGTTTGATGTATGTAGATAAACAGGACCAAGGCAGAAGCAAGTGACTTGGCCTGGGAAAATGCAACTTTATAAATTGTTAGAAAGGTCCCAAGCACAGTCTTTGCCTCCATCCTACCTTCTCAAGCAATGTTAGGGTGTGATTTAGGGGAAAGTGTCAGACAGACGCTCTTCCCAGCAGTCTCTCTTTTGAAGAGCAAGGTTATTCCTCTATGTCAGCTAGAGCCATGTCACATCCAATTAATGAATGTCTCACATTATTTACTAACACTGATGTAGCCACAAGTATATTATGTCTTTGTCAGCTTTCTCATGATTCCTAGTCAGTCTTCTCAATTGGTCAAATCTATGGTATGTAAGTCCAAGAAATATGTTAAAAAGGTTAAACAAAACAAAACAAAACAAAACAAAAAAAACAAAAAAAAACCCACAAAAATGAAGATTAAAGGAAAAAAGAAGAAGAACTAAAAAAAGGCTAAAAAAAAAAAAAAAAGGCTAAAAAGAAAAAAGTGCCAGGATCTAAGACCCACAGAAGTGGAAAGTCAATCCACACTACAAAACCCAGTCCCTAGCAGCTCAGTAGGAGCCTTGGGTGAAGTTTCATGCAGAAAAAATTAAAAGATAACTGTTGTCTGTAAACATATAATTGACCACATATAAGCCCAAAGTTTTTATTAAAGTTATTATTAAAATTATATTTATTCATCTTTGTACTAAACACCACCATCCTAACAGTTACCTACACTTGAAGGTAACTATATCAGGGTCCAACGCTGTGTAATCAATGGCAAGAGACAAATGCCTCTAGAGGCTGATCTGCAGAACCTGAACTAGCAGCCTGATAATTACCAGAGTGAAATACAATAACTACCTTGTACAGGGCCTTGCAAAATCCTCTCTAAAGTAGGAATTCTTCCCCACTTTTTCTCCCCATGAAGGGCCTTTTTTTTTCAAAAAATCATTTCTGATTTGTGTATAAATCAGGTTTCACCTTCTGCTCCTAATCCGTATTTACGGAATTAGCTCTATACAAATGAAGGCAGTACAGTTTCAGGTGAGGAAAGGAACCTGGAAAAAAGAGATCATTAATAATATTTATTGAAACATTAATTCACAGCAAACACTAATTTGCGGTGAAATGTTCAAGAGTAATTATTGATAAAGAAAGAAAAAGAATCCTTCTCAAAATCTCTGATTGTAGTATCAAGGCCTTATAATCTACCCTGTATGTTCTTAAATGACAAAGATATCTTTGTGTGGTTAAAGGTTAAAAGCTGGTAGGTGAAGAAGTTCATTGCTGGACTACACAAAATGTAACTTTTTGTATCTGAATTTTCTCATGAATGTGCTGGAATGTCTTATGCAATGGATACATAAAATTAACAGAGAATTTATATTCAAATAATATTATTAAATTTCTCCCCCCCCCCACTTTTTTTTTTTTGAGTGGGATTTTGTATTTCTAGTAATATGTGCAAACACAGATAAAACATCTGACTTTCTTTTTGGCCAGGATACAGACATATGAGTCATGGAAAGCAAGATTTATTGGTCTACCAGAAACTTTTAGTTTAAATTTTCTCCTGTCAAATTCTTTCAAAGAAACTGAATCTGCATGTATTTGCACATAACCATGAAAAGTGCAGCTCACTCTTTGACTAATTCAATTTGAAGCCTTTTTGCTGAGGTTCTGGCCTGTGGCTTTGCTCTAATAGACACAAATCTTGTGTTGATTTAGATAAGTCTCCTGTTTGATTTACTACTTTAATGTATCAGAGATAAACAGCTACAATATACTCCTTGCAGGACTTCAATATATATTCCAATTATTGTCATGTTGCTTCGAAGTGTGAGTTGACACATAGCCTCTTCTAAAAATTGTGCATTGAACCAGACATTTGAACAAGATGTGTTTGAGAACCACAAGAAAATAAGAGTTAAATAATGAGATGGGTGGCTGATCTGTGAAATTGGCATTTCTTTCAGTGGAACTTGAAGGGACAATAAGACCAGTATCACAGAGCAGCAAGAGAAACTCCTAAGACCAGGTTTCTTGCCAAGGGGACAACCCCATTACCATCTACAAATGGAGCTTTGAAAGCTCTGACATCAAGAGGTCAGCCAGGAGTGTCTTGCTTGTAATAGGGGAACTCATCTGCAGGATCCTCGCCCCCCATCTGGACTGAGGCTTACCCTGTTCCAAGCTAAAATCCTGAAAACTCTAGGGAAGCCTGGAACTGCAGATCTCATAATACCTGGAACCTGGCTGAAGGGCAGACAGATTGGCCATTTTGGCTGGGAACTGTCCCTATTTTCCAGGTAGATCTGCCAAACAGACTAAGTATTTCAGTGTTACAGCTCTGTGGAAGATTTGCTTGATGAAAGAGGCTTTGTCTACATTTAAAAGGACCTAGTAATATGGTGCTTTCTATGGAGATATTCAGCCTTCCAGGGAAGTATTAATTTAGACACAGACACCGGTGAATTTAGACACCTCCTCAGTAGTCTAAATCTGTGTTTGTGCATGTCTTCAACAGTATTTTCAATGAGCTAAGTACATACAGGTCTTTCTTCAGCCACATCCCTAACAGAATCCTTGATGGTAACACAATATTGCAAGATATACTAGAAGCATAACTCTTTGGGTCTTCCGCATGTTTGCAGTGTTGGCATTTATGTGGTCAAAGCACTTCCATGGAAGTAAAAGACCTGAATCCAAAACTTTCATAAACCCATGGAGGTTTCAATCCTATTTGTTGACATAGAAAAATAATCACCAGACTAAAAAGTATAAGCATTTAAGAGGTTTCCACAACCTTACACCAACAAGTCATAAACTCAAAAGGAGAAAATTGTTAAAAGGTGCCTGGATCTACTAAAGAACTTAGAGCATTAGCTTGGATTGAAGCAGCAGAGGGTTCTGCTGTGTATTGAGCATCCCATACTTTAAAAGGCCTTTTCTGTTAGCATAATAATGATTTCACTTAGCCTTTTGTTGAAGGAATTTGAATTAAAAAGAGATTAGAATTCTGCCTAGTATAGCAAAGTTATAAGAAACCACTCTGATTTGGGGAACCTCCAAATTTTGTCTGGTTTTGGAATTCTTTGGTTTTTTTTTTGAGGGGGAGGGGGTTATTTCTGCCTTTACTATTGAAGGTACTCTGTTCTCTCTCATTCAGATCCTTAACATCAGGAGGACTTTAAAGCAAACCTGCTATTCAAATATTCACACAGATACCTGTTTGCATGATTGTTCGTCACGTTTTCACATTCTGGAAATACTCTTGTGAACAAATATTTGCTTTTACAACAGTTCTCAAAGGATGAATAAAAGAACTTAGGAACATTATCAAAGGAAATACATGTGGCGCCTTGTACATGAACATTTATGATCACATTTTTGCAGGACAGAGCCAATGCTAATATGGTTTCAGTATGATGTACAAAAGTGAACTTCAGGAGAATCAAAGGTATGCATTTATGAGCAAGCAGCAGAACATCATTGTTCTTGCAGAGTTCCCTGGATGATCTCCTAGCCTGCTAAACTCTCCTACTTTCTGGCATCAAAAGTCATTTCATATGTGCAGGTATTGCTCCATTCTGTACTTTCATCTTATTTTCAGGACATAAGTTTTCTTTTTTGCTTGGAGTGTTTGTTGAAAGCAAACAGGAATAAAAACTGACATAAACTTTACCCAACAACAGTCCAGTGCAAAGTCACCAAATTCAAGAGAACAACTTGTCCTGATTCAGAGGGCTTCCAGCCAGCTGCTGATGGCCTATACTGTATCTGAAACAGATTAGCGGTACAATTTACAGTGTAAGAACTATGCCAGTTTTCTCTTATCTCTTTTAATAAAGTTGAATGCTCCAGAGGAAATGTTCAAATTCAGATATTAAGTTTCATCCAGACTAAAGGTAAGATCTGAGATCTTGCCTTTGGAGACCGCATACCTAGCCAGTAAAGTTAGAGACACGCTTAATGGATTGTGATATTGCCTAGTCCTGGTAAAGTTTGCAGAATTAAGAAGCCTCCCAGTACTGATACTCTCCTTTGACAGCAGAGGGAGCATTTCATCCAGTAACTCGTTTGTTCTCATATGTTCTCATGCAGATTCCAGCAATATTTAATAAATAAATACATTACTGAACCCAAATATCTCTAATCAGGCAGGTAGCCTGTGGTTGGATAACTGCAAAACAAAGTACAGTAGCTGGAAAAACCACACAATGTAAGAAACCCAAAAGGTGTTAATGGTGGAGGAACTATTCTTTCTTGAGAGATAATTTCCAAAAGAATCCAAATTACTGAAAGAAAATATTTTTTTCCCTACTGGAAAAAAAGAGCATGAGAAAAAAAGGGAGTAAGGAAAATCTCCAAAGCTCAAATTTATTCCCTAAATTTTATTAAGGCCTGGCTTCTCAGAGCTGCCGTGAGTTTTTTCAGACATGTTTCTGTTGAAAACCCAAGCTATTTTATTACTGAATCTGAGCCTTGAGCTGGTGGGGCATAGGGGAGTCTGGCAGTAATGCCAAATTTAAAGTATATGTAATTGGCTTGTAACAAGGTGACCTTTAAGGCCTTTTCCAACCCAAACTGTTCTATGATTCTAAGAAATGGGAGTGAGTCACTGACTTAGTTTCAACCTGCATTAGGGTAACAGGTAAAAAGGGCATTGACAGAACCTAAATGTAGTAGCTCTGATCAGACGATTATGTGAGGTAGCAATTCTTAATTGTAGTTGTTACTTAAGGAGATGTTTCTCAATTTTTCAACAGTATTATATCCCTGTCTCCAGCCATATCTGTTTAGAAAAATAATTACTGAATACATTAGCAAATCTACCCTGTATACTGCAGCTACAGCACTGGCAGTAGTAGCTATTCCATAAGCTTTCCTGACTGGAAAGTTTATTGATCATCTGAGTGATGTTTGTTTCTTTGAATACTCTTTTAATTTTTCCCTTAACCTTTGCTCAGGCAAACTCTAATACTTCAAAAGAAATTTTACTGAATGAAGAACACTTGTCTCGAGGTGAAACTAGTAACTTTGATTCAACTACCCTATGACCTGATTAAAATCAGGCTGCATTCATATGTCAAGCTAAGCTATGAGATTTAAAAATAAACAACTCTCCCTGTAAAATCATTGGGAATTTTGCCTGTTCAGAGGTGATCATAAACATGAAAACAGTTTTAACTGTTCATTAGCTTAGGCTTCAGGCCTGAGTCAAAATCAGGCAACATTTTGAGCAAAACTTGCGCTACAGCCTGTCTTCAAGGGATACATAGTGTTTCAGACGCCAAGGAGAGCTATGGAAGTATATAGTATGATAGGAGATAAAATGCATTTTTAGGGTTTTAAAAACTCCACATTTGATCAGAAATAAGCTGAAAGCAATGTTTGAGCTGAACCTTGCTCTCTGAAAATGAATTGGTACAGTTTGGTTAGAAATTTCATTTAGGGTTCAGGGACTCTTACCCAGTACTTTTTGTAATCAGGCTACTTGATCAGCACAGCTATGGATGAAGATTTAGGTGGGCCTGATACCTCACTGATACCTCAAATCTCTCAGGTTTAAAATTCTCTCTTCTCTTTATTGTATCAGATTTCTTTTTTCTTTTCTTCTTTCACCCTACCCTGGTTTTAATTGAATATGTTCTCTCAGTTCTTATTTCTATTTGAATCCACATTTCCTAAGCATTGAGATGCTTGGCTAGGAACATATTTGAAATGAGGTGGACTTGAACCTGTAAGTACTGTAAATAGAAACAGAAGGTCTCACAAGTATGTTGCAGTGCCGAAAGAACTGTGTGATTTCTGAAATTATGCCTTTTTACAGCAGTTTTATAGGTTCACTAGCCTAACTACTATCATTTTTCATGAAGAAAATTTTCTAAGTAGAAATAACTATGTTCCTGGCAACCGCTTGAACTACTAGAATAAGATAAATATTAAAGATTGCCTTAAAAAAATAAAAAATAAAATATTTTTTATATTTGTTATTTGAATTTTGCAGGCACTTGTAGGACCCCTGTGGCTAACCTTTAATTCCATATTTGTCCATCCCTATTCAAAATGAAGTGTGGAGAGAAGTTGTTTTATTTTGAGTAGGCAATATGCAGACCCTAAAATTTGTGGCAGGCACATGCTGGGTTATTTTTATTAAAGAAACTCCAGAATCCATGGCATTTTATCAAAAATGCTTATCCTTGCACATTCTTAGAGCTAAAATTAAAAGAAACAGGACAATGAAGCCAGCAGCTAAGATACCTGTCTAGAAAGGAGACTACAACGTCCAGCAAGTGGTAGGAACAGGTCCAAGTCCTGTCCTACTTACACCTATTTGATTTAATGGGATTGCACTTGTATAAATGAGAGAAGAGCTTGGTTTGTAAACTTCAAAAGGCTCACAATAGCAAACAGGGGGAAAAAAAGAAATGCAAAAGCAAACAACACCATGTGGAATGAATCTGAGACATCCCATCCCAGTAAGAACACTCAGCAGTCTATTTTATTTATTCAGGTCAAAGGAAGACTGTGAGATATGTAGACTATGTGAGGATAGGGTGTGAAAGTGAAAATGTTCAAATAAAAGCATTACTTTGGCACTACTGCTGAGATTAATGTGGGTTATAAAAAGAGTACATCTGAGACTGGCACTGAAACTCTTGATAACTAAGCAGGTTCACAGGGATGAACTTATTATGACAACCCTAATATTGAGGGTTAAGAAAATATAAAATCAGGTCTTATATTTTCATATGAAGTAATCATGTTTCACTGGAAGGGTTTAATTTAGAGAGAATGATGAGTTTTGAAAGTGAACAGAAATCTGGTTTCTGTTGTTTGGGTTTTTAACAACAACAACAATAATAACAGTAATAGAAAAAGCAAAACAAAAATAATAGCAAAGGGAAAAACTTGGCTTTTTCAGTTCAATTTTAAAAAGTACTTAATGGATACTAAGCCTTTATGACCTATATCACCTATGCATAAATGGTCCACACTCCTATTACCTTTTAAGTATGAAAACTGACTCTCTAAGGCTTCTGAAAGCTGAAATGAATTTTTAGGTCAAAGCTGCAGAAAATCTACTTGCTCAGTACAGTGCAGCTCTGTAATCACAGGATCACTCCCTCCTTTTCTGATTGTTGAAGAGCAACTTCTGCTTCTGAAAACCTCCCTAGAGGCTCAGTTACTGGTATGAAGAGTTCAGAGGGGAAGAAAGGTGTCCAAGGCAGAATTGTACTCAAGGAAGTGTCAGTTCCACTTCAGGATTCAGCAATCCTAAAACCATCAGCAGTATGCTCCAAACAATATCTTTCAATGTTCAACTTCTGGTTTTCAGCTGGTTCTTGATGTTTTTTTGTGTTAATGGAGTAAATTATTCCCTTCCAGAGAGCTACTCATTGCATCTGTCACAGTATTTTTACAGGTCAGATGACTCACCTTTTGAGGTTTGTATTTCCTGTGTGTTAATTACAGAGGCAGCCTAGGGTGACTAGCTCAGACACAGTTACTTTAGACATTTTAAGTGGGAGGAATGCCCAGTTTTGACCTCAGGTACTGAAAAATACCTTGTTGAAACATACATAAAATTTACTAATTTGCTTTTCTTTTTCAAGAAAAGTACACAGAAGTATAGCTGACCTGAGTTATTTACTAGTATATGCACAGGTTTTGCTATATTTATCCATTTCTCATTCATTTCTGTGCATGAAACTAATCTAGATGAAGTGGATAATAACCACAGACCAAAAGGGAGGTGCAATTATGTCATGAAGTTTATAGCAACTCGTGAAGAGACAAAAGCCTCTGAAGAGACCTATATAGATAATCCTCCTTATGACTCACAAGCAAGTTGCTTAATCTGAGGAAATACATAGCATGTGTAGAACCTATTTATAATAGGATCATCCTGCAAATATTTTTTAAGTTGTTTCAGCTAACTGAACTTTAAAACCATTTAGAGCCTCTCTGCCAACTGGAGGTTAGAGTAAAGTTCTGTTCATAAGATGGACACTTGTTTTGGCATACAATGCTTGTGTTTATGGAAGAATCTTATAATGTTGAATTCTTTTACATTTCTCAAACTATCAGAACATTAATTTCATTGGAATGGGTCCCATCCCTTCCTTCCAGAGAGGTAATAGCTCCAAAACATGTATTACTGGGAATATCTGATTTATCTTCAGGTAGTACAGAAGCTCTTTTTTTAATATTTTGATTTGGAAACACCTTATTCTTTATACTTTACTAAAAATTAATTCAAATGGTAGCAAAAGTCTTTTCTTTGATGCATCAAGGAAAATATCTGTTTCTGTTTCTACACTGAATGCATCTTTTCCTTAAGTTAAGTAGGTACTACACTTGACAAAACAATAATGTGGGAAACTATTTGGAAAATCTTAGTTAAAATTAAGATGTGATATAATTTGAAAATGCTTTGTAAGGTAGTGTAAGTTATGTTAATTTAGTTTCCCTATATTTTCACCTCAGAAATTGGGTAAAAATTAAGGAAAATCCAAAGTAAATTTGTTTTATTAGGTGCTTCCTGGAACAGTAAATTGAAGGAGGGAAAGCTTAGCTAAGTCTAGGGTTATAAAAAAATTATTTAAACATGCCACTCAGATGCTACCCAAAGGGACTAGAGAGGCCTGAGAGGTGAGCTCATGCAAACCTCAAGTTCAACAAGGCTAAGTGCAAGGTCCTACACCTTGGTTGGGGCAATCCTGAGCACAAATACAGGCTGGACACAGACTGGATTGAGAGCAGCCCAGAGGAGG